ACTCTTTCCTAACGTCTCAAAAGGAAAGGTGACAGACCCCATTACAGTGTGTCACAGGCCTGATTTGGCCAGCAATTAAACCACAGTGCATTCCTTCGAAGTGCACACCAAACTTAAACACCCCACTGCTGCCTCTAGAAGAGACTACAGTATTGTTCTTTTCATAATGCCACCCACTTTGAAGAGTAGTTTGTTCTTGCTGGGGACTCTGCTAACACCAAGCAGGCCAAGGGAGCTATTAAGGAGCCATTGAAGCGAAGAAGAGGTGAATTGCTGTGTCACAGAGGCTACTGCTCACTTCTGAGATCATTATTTGGTATTCATATAGCTTTTTCTGTCAGAAGATCTGAAATTTACCTAGGGAAGCTAAGTGATGTGTCCAAAAGAGAAGCTGAAAAACTAAGAGTGAGTGAATGAGGAAAATCAGCCGTTTGCTGAAGGCTTGCCAAGGACTCACAACGTCAGCTTGTGAGAGAGTAACAGCGCTCCTTGGGAGAATGCCAAGGACTGGGCTACAGTCACTGCATTCACCTGCAAGAAGAACCTCACACAGCAGGAGAACCAGAAAGTTTGGACCCTCCCGGGGCAGCACCTCCACAGCTGGCACAGGCTGTGTTTGCACACTAAGCTGTGAAAGATCTGGAACCCCAACCTTTCCCATTTGAGTGCCCATGTACCAAAAAAGAGAACATGTGTTGAAACAGGATTATGCCGTGATGACCTGCATTAACAAGTGATTTTACTATCTGGTGGGGAAAGCATGGTGGAAACCAAAGAAATGCAGGATGTCAGCCATGTCAGATTTCCTTCAAGACCACTGAGTCACCAGACAATGTATTTTGACTCAGAGACTCGTAATGGAAGGCTTCAGGCTGCATGTTCTGTCCAGGCTGTGTCTGTGCCCGTGCTTGCCCTGCTCTTCTCCCTCTCAAGCTGTAGGGCTGGGAAGATACCTCTGTGCCTCAGCAGCTGAGCAATCTCACTCAACTTTGAAGTTTGCCCTGCCCAAAGCCAGAGATTGCACTAGGGGCCTCCAGAGATCCCTTCCAAGCTACATTTTTCCATGAGGGGAGGCTGTTACCTGAGACAGCAGCCTCTGCTCCCTTTCCTTGTGTGAGACAGGGAACCTGACAGAGGGGATGTGCCCCCTTCCCCTTCTTCTCCCACACCTAAGCACGTGCCAGGAGAGTGCCTTTCACTTTGGAGAAACACACCACCAATCTGCTCAGCCCGTCTCAGGAGAATCCCATACAGAAGGAGCATTATGCACAGTGATGTGCACTGTTGCTTGCTATCAACCAGTATGTTCTTGAAGAGTTAATGGCAACCTCGGGTAGAAGGGAAGTTCTGCAGTAAAGTTTTTGTTCTGACAAAAGACACAGAGGAGGGAGGAAATTAGGATATTCTTACTTCTTTCTGCACTGACTTTCCCTTCCCCTCAAATCATGCTTTGCCACACACTGCTTTCCATTAGCTCTGAACCAAGGGGGATGGAGAGGATACTGCTAGCCAGCATGGAAAATTTCTACGTGACAATTTCAGCATCACCTCCAATCCCTATCTACTCATGCTGCCAGGATCCATTCTAGGCTGGATTTTTC